TTCCTGCTGGTGGCTTCTCACAGTTGGCTATCAGTTGCACAGCTGCCAAGTTTTGCTATGCAAGAAGCAAGTTTTCTTATGTAACCAGAGAAGTAAGTGCTGGAATTGATGTAGTCTGAGATGGTTCCAGTCTAGGGCTGGCCATGAGGCACGGGGTAGGTTAGGGCAGAGTATGAACTCCTTTCCATAGCTGGAGTGCAGGCTCGCAGGTGCTTTCTGAGCAGGCTCGTTATCTTTTCTAGCAGTCACTGCTGATGTCTCTTATTTTGCCTGCATTTTTCAAGCCTAAGGCAGTTGATACTTAGGTGTAAGTTTCATTATTCATGAACTGTAAATGAAAGCAGTGTGGGGAGGGGCTTTCTGAGGCAGGGGTATGACTTCTGAGCAGATGAAACCTGGTGTAGCATGCACAGTTTCTGTTGGTTTTGCTGTAAAAGTTGTTATTCATCTTTTTCTTTCCCTTTCAGTCACTCACCATCAGGAAGCCCTTGAAGGAGTGCAAGCCCTGAAAGAATGGGTTCAAATTCAAACAGTTTAAAAAGAAAATCTATTTTGTTTACATTGTTATAAGGGATTTTGTGGTGTCTTTATAAATGTAAGGGCTTAGTCCTAGAAGGCTGTTTCTATTGACTAACAATTGGCATGAACCTGGATCTTCTAAAAGTCTTATTAGTAGACTAACCCAAAACCCTTTTGTTGTGTTAATGTTCTGTGATCTGGAAATGTTGGGCTTTTTTTATTGGTGCGTTGAAATAAACTACATTTCTAAAGAAGAACTACTTTGTGCTAATTCTGCTGTTTCTGTTGATACTTGGATAGCTAGAGACAGGTCCCGTGGCACTGTGGTGAAGAGCAGGAGGCAGGCCGTTAGAGGCTCAAGATTTGAGCATAGTGCAGCAGCTGGCCACCTAGGACTTTATTACTACAGAACGCTGGTTGGAGCAAAGGGTACCAGCTCTCATGCATGCTGTTTGGTCCTGAATGTTAATGGCGATCTGTACCTTGTGTTTTTAGTTGCGCCTCCTTGGAGCTCAGTGCAGCTGAAAAAGTGTGCGGAGGTGCTTGTGCACTTGACATTTTGACTTGTGTAAACATGCCTACAAGGGGTATTAACATATGGAAAAAACAAGGAATGTGTGAATACAGGTGTGTCTGTCCTGTTGATTAAAGGACCAGTGAACCTGACGGTGTTTGGAATGCTTCTGGAATGTAAACTAAGTATTTTTGGTAATCTTGGTTTCTGTCCTGGTTGTCCAAACAGTATTACTACTTTGTGGTACTTAGGATAAATTGGTAGGTCTGGTGCTTTGTTTTAGGAAAGTAAGGGATTTCTTAGATTGACAGACACGAGCAGAAATTGCAGGGCACGTTTTTAAGTAGCAGTACCTGTGGGGAATTTTGCTCATGTTGGGGAATTGACCTGGCCGACCTGGTCTGCCTGGTCACATCTCTGGCAGTGAAGTCTAACCAAGGGACTCACTGCTCTCTGCATCAGTTGCTGCTTTGAGAAACTGGACTGTAGCAGCCTGTATACAGGTGGTCCCCATCTCACCACAGATGGATTACTGAAGGATTTAATCTAAGTAGGATAAACTAGTGCAAAGTATTTGCCAGTTTGTTTTGTCTTTGCAGCCTCATGATGGCTATTAGACTATGCCAAGTGATTGTAACTTAGAAGTCTTTCTTATAGTATGTTATGGCCTACATAGCTGTGTCTTACAAGCCAGAGAGGAACAGTAGTTTTCTTGGGGCTTCTAATTTTTCAGCAGCAGAGCAGAGCACTGCAGCTGTGCCTGCACACCTAACCCCAGGTTTTCAGATGAACTTTGATCATTTTTGCTTTACAAGTTGGCCAGGTATTGAAAGAATGATAATGAGCCCCTACACCTGAATTCACAAAGACTCTTCCTGCGTACTACAGCGTGTGTGTCTCATTCCTCCTCTCCTTTAAGTGACTTCCTTGCTGCTGCTGCTGCAATTAATATTTTGTTCCAGCCATAGCCCACTACAAGCTGCAAAAGAGGGAGATGGAAGCAACAGTATTAAACTAGTGACCTAAAAGCCATTGCTGAATGCTGCTGGGAGGAATATTTATTGAGCTCCCTTCCCACAGCCCTGTGACAGTAAAATTACCCCATGCCACAGTGCTTTTTTAGGGGGGTAGCTTTTCCTTTTTTTTTTTTTCCCCATTTGTACTGTTGAAGCAAGCTAACACCACAATAACGTAGAGGATAAAGCTCTTCTAGTGGCATCTTTCTTTTTCAGTCTTTCCGCTCATTAGAGTATTACAAGAAAGGAGGTAGGTGGGGACTTGGATAGAGGAGGAGGGCTGGAAGCAGGGTTACTACGGACAAGCTTTGGTCAGCAGGAGGGAGGCAGCTCAGAGAAGTTGTGGATGCCCCTTCCCTGGAATCATTCAAGGCCAGGCTGGATGGGGCCTTCAGCAACCTGGTCTAGTGGGAGGTGTCCCTGCCCATGGCAGGAGTGTTGGAACTGGATGAGATCCCCTCTAACTTGAACCATTCTGTGATTTTAAATAAAGCACTCCCTGATGCTTGAGGAGTCATTTATTCAAGAGGATACTACTTTAAATGTGTACGGAAGTCTGAGTTGAAGACTCAGCCAACCTGAGCAGAAACAGCATTTGCTTACCCTTACTGGCATGGCTGCCATACACACGGAAGGAACACTGTATCTAACAGTCCTGCTTCACATGGAACTATCGGCTGACACCACACTATGCCTCTGCAGTGCTTTAATATTCTGCCTGAGGAGTCCTAGGCCTTAACAGCTCTTTGCCAAACCTGAGGAAAAAGCCCCAAGGGTCCAGGTGTGCAGTTACAGGAGTGTGGTGCTACTGTTGACCAACACCGAACTATGGGAACAGTTAAACCTTCTGCAGTTCGACATACCTGCAGTGACCATTCTGCTGTGCTGGTGTGTTGCTCTTGGTACTCCCATCTTCCTCAGGCAAGAGTGTGTTTGCTGTGAAACTGCTTCTACAAACATTCAGGTGTGGGGTCTGTTTTTTTTCCTTTTTAAAAAAAAAAAAATCAAACTAGTCTCCAAATGATGAACCTCCCTCTGCTCATTCCTCAGCCTGAAGGCTGTTTCTAGACAGAACTGCAGATTTAGTCTTGTTTTACAGATAACAGCAAAGTTGTTTCACTTAAGGCACTTGCTATTGCAATTAAGCAGTGTCAAAGGGAAGAAGGAACCATTCATTATTCCTGTGGCATTTTGCTGCACTGTTCTGTAGCCATTAATCCCCAAAAGCAAGAGTTTTGCTAAAAGTTTCCAAAATCAGGACTTTCTTCCAGCTGCACAGGGTAGCAGGAGGACTGGTGCCTAGCACCTGAGGTTAACAGTGAGCAAATATCATCAACCCAAGGATACACTTTTGAAGCACTGCAGCAGTCCATCTCATCTGTTTTACTTTGTCACAGCACAGGAGGAGGGCTGGAAAAGCCCAGCTCTCAGTGGCAATGTCCACACTCATCTGCAGTTTCACACCGTAAGCAGAACAGCTTGCACCGAGCTAACGTTACTCCAACTCATCTGGTACAGTGTCCTTGCCAGGGCATGCTCTCTCAATCCATTTCAGAACCCCCTTGCCATGCGTCATAAGGTACCTTTTCAAGGTCTTTAGGTTGAACTGTAAGCAAATCTATCCCTGGTCAGCCAAGGCTGACCACCTCTGTAAAGTCTCAGCCAAAATGTACAAGTGACTTGAAATCAATTTGGGAGCTGCTTATGCTGTCACATGCTGCCTCCAGACATTAGTATTACAAGAAGCAGCAAGGTAGCAGGTACTTTTGTGACCAGAAAACACTATTACCAGTGTATATAGTGTCATGAAAACCACTTTCTCACTTGGAGGTTTCTAATCCTCCAGGAAGATTTGCCATTTTCCCATTTCCCAGACTGTATTTGTAAGCCACCTTACTTTGAAAAAGCAAGCTCTCTGCAAACAAAGGAAAAAAAACGAAATAAAACCAAACATCCCAGACCAAAACCTGTCAAGAATACAGTTGCCAGCTTGGTCTTTCAGGGATCGGTGCCACATTTTTGGGACAAACATCAAGACGCTGATGTGACTTGGTCTGTCTTCAGGTAGTAGCAAACAGTAAGTCATTGTAGCAAGCTGTTCTTGTGTTACTGCGTGGTCACAAGCTTTACAATCATACTGATGATCTGAGATCCACGGGGGCACATGCATAGGTCCATGCTGGGATTCTTGATTTTATCCTGCAGCAGCTGGTCTAGTTCACAGCGCAGCTCCTTTACCAGCTCAGCTACCTAACACACATGGTGAAACAGAGGCGAGGGTAAGGCTCATGAAATGCAGCTCTTGCTTTCTACACAGCTCAGCAGCACTCCCAGGATTATCCCCTCCTTTTTCTTACCTGGTGAGAGGCAGCCACAAACTGTATCCATCCATCGTCAAGAGAAATGACAAATTCTCCCTTCTGCAGCTGCATGTGAACCTGCCCACCGCCAAGCAGGACCAGTGGGTACACTGACACCATACTGCAGTCTCGAATGAACACGCGGCTGGTCTTGATTTTCTCATGATACACCAGGTAGGGGCTCTCAAAGTGCCTAGTCTGGAACACGTACACAACATGTACACAACATCCTTGTTAAAGTGCCACATCTCTTCCTACCTGTTCAGGCAAATACGGGCCACAGAGGCCTCCTGCCTCTTCAGCTGCAAAGAACAGTAAATGTGCTTAAAATGCACCTACATGACAAACAGATCATCTCTGACCCGTAAGAGCTGCCAATAACTTTGCCAGTTATCCTCCACTCCTTCCTGCGTTGCAGCGAGAGTTTGAGAAATTGGCTAATTCATCCATGTTGCCTCAAGGCCTGAAGTTCTTAATTTCACGCTAAGGACATTTTCTTGGGCACATGTGTTATGCTCTCTAAAGCGAGACTGGTGAACAGTTCAAAGCCTTTAAAACCCAAATATGTGGTTAATGATTAAAAAACTCACTTTAAAGCAAGTAATTTATATCCTGGAAACGCAACGAATCATCAAATACAGAGACTTCATGGGATAAATATTGCCATATATCATGGCAGAGAGAAGAGCTCTTATCCAAGTATTAACTGCTAAGCTGAAAAGGAAATTAACTTGAGTTTGAGGTCTCATAAAGAAATAAACTAAAGTGTGTCCCTAATTTATTTACCAATACATAATATTTCAGCTGAGACAAAGCCTGGGGAGGGGTAGTGAGGAGTTGTCATCTGCATATATAAAAGTGCTACACCTTCATGCAAAGTCAGTCAACACTGAGGAGAACCCAGGGGGGCATTTCGTCTGCAACATTCTTGTGTGCAGCTTAAGAAAATGTGAACTGGGAGGGTTACTGCACCTGCTAATTCCACTCCAGAGCCCCCAAGTCAGGAACACGCCACTAGTTACAATTCTAACAGGAAGTGTTCAAACATGCCGATTTTTTTCTTTTTAAAACATCAACATGGACCCTTCACTGTAATCTCAACTGCTCAAGCAAAAGTAATTTATTTTTTAAAAAGATGTATGCTTTGCAGAAAAAAAAAAAAAAAAAAGAATCCTGACCTGATAATTCACAGATGAAGGGTGAATGTGAACATAACCATCATTTTTTGTAACAAACTTCAGCTCTTCTGCTTTTGGTTGCATTTTGACCGCTCCTGTACTGGTCTTCTGGTACTTGCCCTCTGGCTTTTTCACCTGTATGGTAAGACACAAAGTTAGAAAAATCTTTTGTAGCAGAATAC